AATTCTAACAAAATATACATTCCACAATATTTTTAGCCAAAAGGTTATTAAAGTCATTTGTCTTAGTTAAAAATTTGAATTAATAAACAAGAATCTTTAATATACAAAAAAAAGACAATTTTATTTTCAAAAATTCTATTCTAAAACGTTTACAAATTTGCAAGTAGAATTCGTGCATTTTTACCTCTCGTCCACCAGACGAAATCAAATATTTAGTTCCATTCTCGCAAATGCCAAAATTTCAAGCCAGCGCATATTTGCTTGCCATGAAAATAGAAAGATGAAACTCAAAGCCGTTGTATGTACCGTTCGCTGAAGTTACCACTACTTTTTATCTCTCTCTCTCTCTTTCTCTCTCTTTTTCTTTCTCTTTGGCACGGCTTTTATTATAAAGGTCAAACAAATTCGAGTAGCCAATTCGTATCTTCTATGGCTGTCTTTTCTGAAACTGCCGTCGGCCATAAATGTTGTATGAGCACCCAAAGTGATTGACATTAATATGTAAGGGCTACAAGGAAAAGAAAACGCGGACACTCAAAATATAACAAACGCCACCGACTTTGATCATTAATTCGTTTCATTATTTTCTTCTATTCGCAATAGTTCTTATTACTCTTTTATTATTTTATTATTCTAATAAATAAAATGCGATAAAGAAAAACTAAAGTATTATACAAAGAATCGAGGTTTAAAAACGCACATACAAGCTATTTTAAATAATATTTATTTATCTCAACAGAGGAAAAAAAATTATTTTTTTACATTTGTTTTACACATCATAAATAATCTCATAATTTTACGATGTTTCAGCTTTTGTCATATGGTGCCAATGTAAAAGAACATGGCATTTGCGGCTTTTTTTCCATGTTAAATCTGAAATTGTAAAAATATGCTTGAAATATGCTTTTTACCTGTTTTTTTAATTTAAAGGGGAAAATATACCAATTTGAAAAACTGAAGATTATAATATATACTTGGTGGTATTTTAACTAATGATAAATAAATAATAATACAAACAGCACGTGGAAATAATGTAAGATGTGCAAAATACATTCGGCGAAACCTTGAAAATTCTCCACGGCAAATCATTTTTTTTTTTCGGTGCACCAAACATTCAACAATTAATTATCAATGACGCATTAGAGCCTGACCTCGACGGCGAAATATCGCGCATCGCCATTGGCTAGCCTTTCACATTTAACTTATACCAATCACGAATGCAAGTGTGATCTTAAATGAGTTTTTTGGAAGTCTTCTAAAACAAGATAATATATAATATATCAAATATAATATTTACATTTAACTAGTCATGGTTAGTTCTAAAGAAATTGCAAGTTTGCGAAAGGACATACTTAATATAAAATTTCATCACACATTTTATCTATTATTCATTTATCTATTGTAGTGTTTAATTTTACATTAATATGCTCTCTCTCTCTCTCTCTCTTTCTCTCTCTTATTCTTTCTAGTTTAACCTTTATTAAACTTATTATTAACTTACATTATGTTTTTATTTGATTGGGCGATGGCAATTTATTCTACGATTTTAATCTGTTCAAGCACTATAATGATATATAATCAGATTTCAGACTACTTTAGATGACGAAATAATTCAAGGCCACTTTTATCCACAGTTCCATGACTATCTATTCGTATAGCCGAAGTCAGTTGTGGTATAGAAAGACTAGACCATTTTGACCGTCTGGGACCTCTAACGGTATCGTTAAAGGATGCGTCACGAATTGAATATCCACGCTACTTTTGGGTACTTCAACTAACGCACGATCCATCCGCTATACTAGATTCCGCTCCAAGCCATCTAGTTTCTTCTTTTCTCATCGTTCTTTCTTTTATTCGGTTGTTTATTACAAATAAGAAAATTTGGAAACTAAGCAACGATCACAATTTAAAGAGAAATATAGTTCTCAACATTATGTTTGATATTTTATTGCTTATACATTTTTTATCATAATGTTCTATTCTTTGATATATTTCTTGCGAACGATATCGCCGCTAATTATCTATAAGAACTTTTGTTTATCAATACTGTGCCTAGATTAACTTCAAATGATCGAGCATGTTTCAAATCAACTGTACTAATTGATCTCATCTTTTAGAAGAGATCAATCAGTAAAAAGAAATTAGCTCTTATTAAAAATCTGCGTAAACTGATTATAGGAAGATAGCATTATTTCGAAACCAAATGATAGTCATATAATGCAATGTAATGCTCAAATTAAAATTAAAATAATCGATGTTAATTATTTATCAATATATATTTAAGAAAGACAATTAAATAATTCTAGCGCATTTATTGCGAAATAAAAATTATTTTTATCTACAAATGACCACGTACTCGACTATCATAATTATATTTAATATTTAAAACATTTGTCTATAAATGTCTTCTGTTTGTTGTCACGATATGGTTTTACTGTATCTCGTATTGGATAATTCTTGCTTATCATTAAATGCGATACTGCACCTACATTAATTTTAAAAAACTAAACATCTTGCAATCAATTCCGCTAATTCACCTAAAATTGAACTCTTGCCATAAATTGATATTTTCGTTAACCAATTACAAAATTAGTGTCATTTCGAAACTACAGTGATAATCATTGCTACAAATTGATATTTTCGTAAATTAATTACGAAGTTAGTGTCATTTTGTGAAACTAGTGATAATTATTTAATACTTAGACTTTCAAATCAATATATAATAACCGGTTTATATGTCCGATATCCTCTCTGATTATTCGTATATTCAAGAAAGACAATTAAGTGACTCTAGCGTAGTCATTATGAAAGGAAAATTATATTCGTCTATCGGAACACCATGTATTCGGTTGTCATTATTTATAGAATATTCGCCTATGAAACGTCCTCCGCATATTCGTCGTGACCGTCTGCAACCTCTAACGGTGTAGTTAGCAAAAAAAAAAAACCAGACGCAAAGCAGCGAATGTCCTTGAATGCTTAGTACTTGAATGTCTGCTAGAAGCGGCGGTATGTCCACGACCCAATACGAACTCGTACAGCCTACGTATCTATATATCGACGCAATCCCACGCGAGCGCGGGTGAATTTATATATCCATAGCGCGGTCGTCATGTCTGCCAATTTTCCGTAATCTGTTGGCTATACTTTGGACCGATTAGTCTTCATTACAAAGACGCGGATCGGAAATTCAATTAGTCCTATGGTTACTTAATTGATTAAATTAACGTTTGATTGACATTAAGAACTTATCAAATACTGTCTAATTTTGATCGTTGCTTCGTATTTAATGAATTATTAATACAATTATATTTTTGTACAAGATTAAGTTTTTAAAATTTGCAGGTTTCGTTTTTAGATTGCGATAGATATCAATTCATGCATGTATTAATTGTCAACTCGTATAATAGAGTTGTTCTCCAAAAAATTAAAACACGAAAAGATTATGGATCAATGTGTCCTCGCAATTCTATCTGGTATGTAATATCTGGCTGATTGATTCACACGGTAAAGGTGAAAGGCCACGTATATGGAACACAACAGTTGACCGAAATTCATCTATGCGATGTTCTCTTTTTCGCGACACGTGCCGATGGATTTCAAATATATGTAAATAAAGTCGATTGATGTATCAAATCTTTTTAAAAACTGGACGAGTTTTTCGAAACTTTTTTAAAACTTTCAAGCACCCTTTCCTAAAGCACTCTAGGAAACAAGTTCGAGAGAATCGAGAAAAATTTTATATATATAGGCTTCCTGGTTTCTCACGATAAAATTCCTCGGGCTTAAAATTGCTCATGTACTTAAAAACAGTGATTTCTACGTGAAACTTTATACAAGGGAAAGAAAGTCTCTCCGTTCTGTAACAGTTTGTATGCGCTTCGGAGAAACTAAATTTTTCACACGGCCTACGTGTAGAGATATGACAGAGCTCAATCTGGGGGCTGTCTCTTATACACATCTCTGAGCGGGCTGGCAA